TGAGTTGTTGTTGCACCTTTGGGAAAGATGAAAGAAACAGAGCAATATTTTGGCATCAGAGTGTATCTTCAGTAGTATAAGAACTACTACAATAATATGCTCGTTGCTCACTTGTCTCAAAACACTGTGACAAAATTTTGACAAAGAGCAGAGTTCAACAAACAAGGGAGGAGAGTAAGAAGAAGTTCCATCCTAGGGATTAGTTTTTTTGCGCTTTCAGCATTGACTTATGATAATTTGGAGTAAAATAATGCTTGTTCCGGAAACATATTCTGGCGATACGGAGTCGTGAAGGGTTTTTCCAAATTTTTATCCAATCAGGAAAAACTAAGAAGKGTAACTTCGATCATGGTACCAGCCCCCTGAAATGCGCAATACCACRGATCCGGTTTGTGTGATGTTCTTACTAAGAATACCACCATCACCATGGCTACTAGTACTAGTACTAGTACTAGCTGTTCTTGCTCCATCAGTGGTGTCATCAGCATAGAGTGCACTAGTAGTACTACTCCTCCTACTAGTAACTAATGAAAATTGATTCTGGACTGGGCTAGTGTTATAAAAGTATTTATGCACTCTAGTAYCAGTATTACTACTAGTAGTTGCTGTACTCCTGATTCAASAAGAACAAGCTTTGTTGTCAATATTGGTCAGATCCAACAGTCAACAAAAACAACAGCAGTTTTAAGAAGGACACCCATTAGTAATAGGACCAGCAGAAGAAGTACCAATTTCAATTGCAGCACATCATCATACTAGTCCTAGTAGTACTGCTGTGGTGTACTACTAGTAGTAATACTAGTACTACTAGTGCAATTGTATAAATTTGTTTGTGCTACTGCATTAGTACTAATAGTGTGCTGGTCTATCTGGTGCTGGTGTCTGGTGGTGGAAGTGCTGCTTTTAGTATCTGGCACTACAGGAAACAGATGTTTCCCCCCCCCCACCATCTRTAATTTGTACTAGATCTGTCCAAGAAATAAATCTTGCCCAATAGATCAATCTTCCTTGATTTCTTCTTCCTCACGAATCTTCCATGATTGAGAACCATAACAATAATTTGTGTAGAGGACCTCCTCTTAAGCTAGTAGTTAGGTGTCACCACCACTACTACTAATATGCAATTGAAGACCAAAAAGACTTCCATCTTGTCCTGTTTCCCAAAAGTATATTCTGAATTTCAAAAGACCTTTATTCAAAAATATAGAGTATTCTTGTATAGTCATAGATGTGTTGCTCTAGTAACAATAGGGTAAGTCATCTTGGTATTGTTATTTTTTAGAACTAGTACTACTACAACAAGAAATWCATTAGTACTACTAGTACTACTGTAGCGACAGAAAACCCAGAGGAATGTACTAGTACCAGTAATCAATACTAACAAGTATTACCATTATATTTCTATCCCTTCCCCTACCAATATTATTTAACTGACTTTTTTTGTTTAGTGAAATAAGGTTCCTGATTTTGAATGAATGGGAAATTCTTGTACTATGYAATATTGAATTGATGCTTGTGGTTGTTCCCCGTGATTGAATTGTTGCTTCAAAAACAACCATTGTTACACACACATATATCATGGTAGTACTAGTAGTAGCTACTGGTGGTAGTCAGTCTATATCTCCTGTAACTGGACATAATTTGTTTTGACAACAACAACAACAGCAACACCAGGACCTAATTAGTAACCATACATCCCAACAGTGATGGATTATTTTGAACTGGCTTTCTTCTTGCAATCCCACTTATCTGCTATTCATAGTACTAGAGGGACTTGTTAAGATAGCAGGAGTGTCTGAGCAGGAGTTCGGGGGTGAAAGAATAAAGACTCAAAAGAAGGCACAGACGCCTCTAGCTCAGCAAAGGAGACTTTGCATACAAGAAGTGGTATCTGAACAAGTCCAAGAGATTGTTCTGGACCTAATTTTGAGAATATGCACCTTTCAAATAATTAAATGCCTCTGCGCAACTAAATTTTAAAATGCACCACATGATTCAGGGGCATCTAATTTCAGAAAGTTTTGGTCCTCTTTGTCACCTGAATTTCCAAAAACTTCTGATTTGACCAATTTTAATGAAGATTATTTGTTCATTCTTTACTTCTTTCAAGGTTAGGGATACGCACAGGGAAATCATTTCTGATCCTTGTTCCTTTCATGATGTTGCTTGCTTCATCTGTACAGAACCCATCCAGCACCAAATGCCAATCATTCTGTCTGTAAATAATTTTTTGTTGCAACAAAACTAAAWATTTTCCCATTGTTGTTGATATTCTTTTTTCTCTTCATTTACTCTTTTTATTGTTGTTGCTGTAAATTGTACCACTAGTATCATGCCTCCTGCAACCAGCCTCCCTATTTTATTCTACCACTGCTGTGGTTGTTGGGAACTTGAAGGGAAKAAATCAAAATTCAAAGGCTATAAATCTCAATCAACTACTCACGTCACTGTCAAATATGTCACAGCAGGATTAAAAGACATGTCTCACACAATTTAGAATGCTATTCTGTCTACAAATCCCAGAACCTCATTAAAGGAAGGGAACATTCACATCAATATGGAAATGGGCACACAAGAAAAGTCAGAACAGAACAGGATTTGACTTCAGTGATAGTACTAATCCCCATTGCAGAATGACAAGCAGCTGAGGAAGAATTGTGCCATGGCAGAGCTCTTGCAATGGCRATTTGCCTAATAGATGAACACAGGCATCAGCAGTATTTGCTCATTATAGTAGCAGTTAATAGTACTACTAGTAGYACTATTGCTCTAAGACCATCAAATAATATCACTCAAAATCCTAGCAGCTGCAGGGTTACACTATGGAATTTGCTTAATATTTTCCAGCAGCATGCTTGTATTTCCATTTTTATTTTTACAAGAAGTAGTAGGAGACTCCCCTACTGTTCTTGTCACCAGCAATAGTACTAGTAACGATTGGGCTGCACTTGAATTGGTGGGAGTAGTAGTACTACTAGTACCAGAAAATAAGTTCTTCATACTACCACTACTACTGGTGCTCCTACTACTACAACAACTACTTCTGGTAGCATTTGAGATGAAACCACACTGCTGTCACAAGAACATGCATAAATACATAAATTACTAGTACTACTAGTGCTAGAAGTATTGTTACTAGCTAGTGGTGGTGGTGATGTTAGTAATACTACTAGTAGTGCTAGTGCTCTACTACTACTAGTAATGATGTCAGCATCACCAGCAGGAGTATGACAACAAGAAGGCAGCAACAAACMAAAGTGGTGCAATCAACAAGAGAACAATAAGGTGCCTACTAACAAGCCATCAGCAGGGACAACAACAACAGCCAGCATCACTAGTACTAGCAGCAAATAAATTATTAGTAAATAACACCTAGTACTAGTAGTAGTAGTACTACTATCATGATATTACTACTAGTACTTAGTACTATTAGCTAGTAGTGCTAGTAGCACCAGCATGACTCTCTAACATTGTGGTTTTATTCACTACTACGACAACAACCATAAGTGCCAGTGCTGGACATACCACTGGTGGTAGACCCACCCAATAGTGTTTCCTCCTTTTAGTATTCTTGCCACCAAGAAGAAACAAGAAGAACTCTCCCTGATTTCTTTTCACAATACCTCTCTTGGTACTACTACTAGTACTAGCTAGTAGTTCACGAGGTTACGAAATGAGATACAGAGTTTTCTTTTGGTGGGACTGCTAGTAGCTCTACTAGAGATCATGGATCTGAAGTTCCTACAAGCACTACTAGTACTAGTACTACACAACGATGCGTGGCAGTGGGATTGGGTTTCCCTTCGCGGTACTACTCTCACTCGCCGCAGCACGCCACGATCCCAACCACCACTGCTCCATGAACCATGTGTAGGCATGTGTGGCTGCCACTAGCACCTCCATTTGTCGTACGGTGGTTGCCAGGACGACGCTGGGATCGATGCCGGTGGGGATGGTGCTGTGCTTCCCGAGCTGTTTTTGTGCCAAGGGGAGATTTCATCGTCCAAGTGCCTACCTAGGACAACGGTAGAATCGGGACAAGAACGAGCTACTACATGCGCGGCTCCTACCGATTGGTTGTTTTTCTCGCAATCGCTTGCCTCGGACGGGACGACCGCCCACTTACGGCAGCGCTAAAACGAATCGATCGAAATGATAACGAAATACTAAGTAAGCAGTGTATACAGTATTATCCTACCGTCAATGAAAAAGGGACCGAGCCACCGACCAAACCGACCGCTGCTCCGGGATTGGCTTCGAAACTAGGGGCTGGGTTGCGCAGCGACATGCACGCACGTCTTGGTCGATCGATCGGGTTGCGTCGACCGCGGACCCCGGATCGGCACGGTGTGCACTACTGCTCGAGAACGACGCAACKCAACGCAAGCGAAACGGCTTATTGGCGTCCCCACTCCTGGAGCTGGGGCTCGACAAAGCTGTTTCCGTTGTTTCCGTTGACGACGCCGGGGCTGCTGCCGAGGTTCTCAAAGTACACCTCCGAGTGTCCCTGGTAGCTCTTGTTGGTGGYCATGCCGTTGTCTCCCTCCTCCCACGAGACGATTTCGTTGCACCAGTTGCCGATCTTGTCGCAAAAGGCCTGCATGGGGAGAATGGTAAAGGGCTCCTCCATCTGYGTGGCCAGTTCCTCGATTCCAAACAAGAAGAGGGAGATGATGGCCGTGGCGGGGATCATGCCCACGTGGTTCCACGTCGACTCAAAGGGCTTGTACAGTGCCAGGGGCATGAGGAGCAGCCAGAAGGAGAGGAAGCGGGCCGTGTGGCGGTTGTAGATGAGCGGGACGGGGGAGGTAAGAAGACGCTCGCTCGATCCGAGGTTGTCCTCGAAGATGGTGAGGGCCTTGTGCATCTCGTTCTTTCGCATAAAGTGCATGGGGAGGTTCTCGATGGCCATGCTCAGGTCGAAGAGGGCGCGGTTGGGTCTGTGGGCGGCATTGATGATGGCGTTGGCCTGGCTCTCGGGCAGTCGCTCGTAAAGCTCCAGGCGGAAGGAGGCCTCGTCTTCCCACTCGGGGGAGAGGTGGCGCTTCATGGAGCGGACAAAGGCCCAGGTGCAGACCGAAAGCCGCTCCAGGTCGGCCTGGCGGGTTGCGGGGTCGACGTCGGTCGAGTCGTAGAAGGCGTTGCCCATGCGGACCAGGTCACGGGTGTGGTTGCTGTTTTTGCGGGGGAAAAGCAATTCGGACGAGACGAGACGAGACGAGAGCGGAACAAAGGGGCGTGCGTGAGGGGCGTGGAGGGATACAACAGAACCGCAAGAGAACRAACACGATCCCGGGCCGACCACCGGACAGAAACGAGAATGCGGACAAAGGTCGATCGGTTGGTGCGGCAGGCCGATGGCATCGCACGGTGCCGACACGGTTCGTCGGAGATCGATAAGGGACAGCGCTGGAACCGTTACAAGAACCAACGGACGGAATCCCGCCGCTCCAAGAAAGTGCGGATCAACCATTCTAGCTCGCTGGCGWACGCAGAAACACGCGTCTCAACACCGAGATTCCGGGCATCCCGTTCCGTTCCGTTCCGTTACGCTCCGTTTCCACTCGACTCGACTCGACAGGACACCAAACCACACCAAACCAAACCACAGCACACCACACCGGACTGCAATACTGATACTCACATGTTCATACCCCAGTTCTTTCGGGCCTCGTCCCACCGCTGGTAGGCCGTGTTGGTGCGAAAGACCAGGAGGAGACCGAGGGATCCCGAGGCCAGGGTGAAGGGGGTCAGCGGGAGGGTGAGGCCGGGGACGTAGTAGTTGTCGATGAKGGGCGCGTGGTGGATCTGGTTGAAGTCGTCGTATCCCACCGTGAGCATGTTCCACAAAAAGATGATGGTGGCRACCGTCGTGGTGGTGGAGACCTCCCGTCCGACGTTCTGTAAGGAGAAACAACCAAAGCGGGAGCGGGGTGGGGGTGTGGGGGGGGGGAACGATCGGACGCAGTTCCGACACGGCGTGTGGGCGAGGAGCCAGAAAAAGAGAAAAAAATTCGGATTCCGTGAGTCGACAACGTTTGCGGGCAATGGTTTGGCGTCGCAAGGGTCGTGGGCACTTCCTGTAACACAAAAGGCACACGGCCCACAACACAACGCAACACAACACACCAAACGACACCACACCACACCACACAACCAAAAACAAAACAAAGCACGCACCTTGTAGATGCCCGAGGATCCGATCGAGAAGAGATTCTTGAYGAACCGGTTGGGCGATCGGTGCTTGACCCAGTCGTCGTGCGTGTAGACCGTCCGGCGGAACTGGCGGGAGGTTTCACCGTAGGGAATGTCCTTGGTGGCCGTGTCGCCGGGCCCCGCCATGGAGAGGGAGGTGGTGGTAGCCTTTGCCGAGGTCGCGGAATGGTTGGGGACAAAGGCCTCGGCCGAATGCTTCGAGCCGGCGAGGGCCAGGGCGGCGAGAATGGCTGCTGTCGTGGGTTTCATCATCGTGGGTTGTTGTATGCTATGCTATTCGCTGATAATTGTTTGTTGTTGGCTGCTCTCCGGTTTGTTCTTTCTGCAGATCTATGCTTTGGTCGGTGCCTAATCTATCTTGCCGTGTGGATCCGATTTGAATTTCTGGTCAAAGGCGTCGGGATGTTTGTTGTATCCTCGAGGCCTGGTCTCGGAAGGAAGTCGATGGATCTTTCGAGTGTTTTTTGAAGGTTCGTKTCGTTTGTCGTTGCCTTTTGCTTTGGTTCCGATCCTACCGGTACCGGTAGGAAAGGAGTTCGAAGTACAGTACGAGGACGAATACTGCCAGGTACGGTAGTACCAAACTGCGGGAAATACATACCTTTACGTGCTCTTGCGTACAGTCCTTACGTACTTGAGGCCAAACGAATATCCCTCCTGCTATTTTACAGTACGAATACTCGTAGGGTTTCTAGGTGGGTGTGTGCCTTCATTTCAGAATCCTCACCAACATCATCATGCATCATCGACATCGACACCGATCCATCCCGCTATCTTTCTGTTTCTGTTCAGTTTCGAAGCCCGAAGGCAACCCCACCACTGTCGTCACAGGAGGCCCCCCCCCGCGTCGCGTAGATCCATCGAGTCCCTAGGACCAATCGTGTCGTTGATCTGACGTCACGTAAGCACCCCTCACACCGAATGTTTCGATATTSACTCAATCTACGTTGAATTTTATTTCACAACGACTTTACAACTTAGGGGTGGTTATTCAGGACTGGAAAGTGCGTAACCGGGTCSAAACAACAATTCGACGTCATCGTACCCCCAATCAGTAAGTTTTTGGAAACCAATTTATTTTGCCTAAAATCTAATTTAATTCTGCTTGGGGGTGAAAGCCTTCGCTCCAAAATTCGAATCCCCCCACACAGTGACGTCACAACATCAAGGGCGTTGCCATCTGATAGGCTAAAGAAAAGCCTGAAAGTACGTACCAGCATCGGAACCCCCTACCAGGTACCGTATCTCCGGTAGGTTGAGCACGATGCTACGGCCCTAATAGATTTTGCTGGCTGGATTCGAACTCTCTGGCTGCTACGTGCCTTCTGGTAATCTTCTAGGTACGGTATGTTGCATGACGCGGTTCAGTATCCGTGCTTTGTTCTCGTATCCTGCTGCCGTTACGAGTACGAGTACCTACCGGACGTACGATGGAACCAAGCCATCGATCGCGTCTTTCGTTGTGGTGGTGTCTTCTGGCTTTTTGGATTGCGCTGAGGATGATGAGGATTGTTGTTGTGTTGATGATCTCGAGCGCCGTAGTACTCGTATTCGTACTCGTACTCGTACTCGTACTCGTATCCCCTCTATCTTTTCCCCACCGCTCTCGCTCCCCTCTTCTCTGCTTTCACACCCACAAAACCCCAGACACCCACGAACAACCATGGCCCGATTGTTCTTCTCCAGCCCCTCGCTGCTCCTAGCGGTGGCCGCCGCCGCCGCCACCACCGGATCCGTTTCGGCCTTTGTCCCCAGCGCGGGAAAGACAAAGACCGCTGCCGTCGCTCCGAGCCCCCTTTCCGAAGCGACCCAGCTCTTTGCCTCGGACATCAACTCGGACATTCCCTACGGAGAGGAATCCCGAAAGTACCGCCGGACCGTCTACAGCCACGACGACTGGGTCAAGCACCGATCCCCCGATCGATTCTTCAACAACATCTTGTCGACCACCAAGTCCGGAATCTACAAGGTAAGGCGAGGCGAGAAAAGGCGAGAGAAGACGATGCGATACCATCCATGCAGCAGACAAACCGATCCGATGCGAGAAGTTAGCGGTCGAACAGAACCGCATTTGCAGTGCATACCTTTGCTTTTTTTTTCTTGGTTCGTTTCTAACATTTCCTTCCGATCCCTTTCGATCCAACAACGATGCGATGTGTTGTTTCGCTGTCCCGGTCTCCATTCCAAATCTGCCCGTTCCCTTCCGCCCATTTTTGAAAACGCAGAACGTCGGCCGTGAGGTCCTCGCGGTCACCCTCATCGCCACCCTGGTGATGCTCTGGAACATGCTCTCGGGCGAATACACGGACCTCACCGGCGCCGTCCACCCCGGGATCCTCCGCGGCCAGTACACCCCCGTCCTCAGCCTCCCCATGAACCCCTTTACCCTSTCGAGCAGTTTCCTGGGACTGCTGCTGGTCTTTCGCACCAACAAGGCCTACCAGCGATGGGACGAGGCCCGAAAGAACTGGGGAATGAACATGTGAGTAATGTAGTGTAGTGTAGTGCGTTGCAGCGCAATGCAGTGCCTTTTCGGATTCGAATCCTGTTGTGTTGCCGAAGGTGCATGTGTTTGTCGAACGAATGTATTGGAAAGAATTGAATCGAATCGAATCAAATCGAATCGAATCGAATCGAATCGAACCGCGACTGAAAGCGAGGCGAAGCCATCGGAACGGAAACCTCCAAAGAAACGGCGAGACAGAGAGCAAATCCAACCAATACGACGGAAAAACAACAACCATCGGTCCGCTGCGAGAGAAACCACAGACACGCCACAAACCGGTACCGCTGTTATTGGAAGGAAAGAGCGGATTTCGGTGCGTCACAAAGCAATGCAGCAAAACACAATATGCCGCCGATCCGTTGGTCCKACCGAACTTGTGGACGGCTCCTTGGCTCCGGTCTGGTTTCCGCTGCCAACGACACTGCGGTGAAAGTGGTGAGGTCCGGACGAAACAGACCTGTCSAGGCTGTCGGAGGTAGCACGAAGGGTKGAAACGAAAGGAATCCCCGAAAACAAGCCGCTGGAACAAAGCGGAACGGAAAAGTCGGTTGTCGGAACGTACCGCAACACAGAAACCAACCACCAAATGCCGCCTTGCGTCTACCGAGAAGGCGACGACCGTGGTTTTTTTATTCTAYGGATCCGTTCATCGCTTCGCCTCGTCTTGCTCTCGCACGATCGATATCGATACAGATCGACCACGCGCCAACCAATTCGATCCGTCCCACRGGCTCTGCCACTTTTTTCCAGATGTTCGTCTTGCTCACTCGCGATCCGTTTTGTGTTTTTCCRCTTTCGTTTCCGCGCACCCTTTTGCGCCAATCCCATCCGGTGTTGCTCCYGCGGTGCTTGGTGTCTCGCAGCAACCACACCCGTGATCTCGTCCGCATGGGAACCTCCTTTTACGACGACAGCCAGTCCTCCCCCGAGCAGCGCGAGGCCGATCTCGACCGCCTCTCCAAGTGCACCTGGGCCTTTGTTCGCTCCATGAAGCGCCACCTCTCCCCCGAGTGGGAGGACGAGGAGGACTTCAAGGCCGAGCTCTACCAGCGCCTGGATCCCGAGCAGGCCCAGGCCATCATCGACGCGGCCCACCGACCCAACCGCGCACTCTACGATCTCTCCCTGGCCATCGAGCAGCTCCCCATGCACTTCATCCGAAAGGACGAGATGCACAAGGCCCTCACCATCTTCGAAGACAACCTTGGATCCAGCGAGCGCCTCCTCACCTCGCCCGTTCCCATCTTTTACAACCGACACGTCGCACGATTCTTGTTCGTGTGGCTCTCCTTCCTCCCGTTCGCCCTCTTTGATCCCTTCAAGGAGTCCTGGAACCACGTCATGATGATCCCCACGACCGCCATCCTGAGCCTCTTTATGTTTGGTATCGAGGAGCTCGCCACGCAGATGGAGGAGCCCTTCACGATCCTTCCCATGCAGGCCTTTTGCGACAAGATCGGCAACTGGTGCAACGAGATTGTGAGCTGGAAGGACGGCGACAACGGAATCTACAACAAGCCACAAAACCATATGGCTCCCGGGCACAACTCGGTCTACTTCGAAGCCGAACCGTAAGCACCGACCGAAGCACCGCGGGTGGACGGACCGGCGAGAAGCCGAACGAACCACGCCAGCAACCACCTTTTTTTAGAATAAGCGAATAAGCTAACCCCATCAATGGACGACGACGAAAGAACCATCAAACCAGAACGAGACCCCAACCCAAACCATTGTTTCACCGCAAAACCAACCAGCAGTCGTGCGACTGTTTCGTTTGGGACGGTGATTCATTGCAAGAGTTGGTTTGTGTTTTGTTTTGTGTTGATTCGATGTTACTTTTTTACTTTATACCACAAATTTTATATTACTATGCTCGTAATGTGTTTGCACGGATGGATGGATGAACGGAACGGAACGGATAGATCTTTGCATCGCATGATTTTGCCCCACCCCATGTATCTTTTCTTGATCCAGCACATTACTTCATACTACACATTACAATACACGACGATACATTCATTTTCTCTGTTTTCTCAAAGTACTTCGAATTAGTTGTAGTAATTTTTTTATTGATAGTAAAGATGATTGCGTACTGGTACATATGATTCTTATTCTTCAAGTGTATGAACTCTTGGCGGTCCGTGAATCCATTACGAAGTGAAGGCCGGTACGGTACGGACTTTTAGTTGTCTTTTTTGACATCAAAATCGATGCGTCACCATCCGGAGTCGACTCCGAGGTTTTGGGATTTTTTCAAAACCGTCCTTAATCACACAACCTACATGTAGTACGATAAATCACTGTGATGTTCGTACGGTACGACGTTATTTACTAGTATGGCGGAACAGATGTAGTTGCAGTACCAAGTACTCGTAGCAAGTACAGTACTTGGTACTTCTTAGTACGGTACCGGCACATGACGCATGACACCATCATTGGCCGTCGGTTTTTCTTTTGTTCAACTCGCAAGGCGTCAATCACACCATACCGTACTTGGTACCCTACCCTACAAAACCCCGGTCTCTTAGGAACCTTCAAGCGATACTACTCGTACCATGCTCCACTGCTCACTTTTGCGACCGTAGCAGAATGTTCCACTTCTCCAAACATTAACGAACCCACAACAACCTTGAATACGACACAACACAAAGTTCACAAAATACCCACACCAAGCACCAGGTTATTCTATTCCCATACTCAGGCATGAAGTCGAAATTCGAGGGAACTGTCAAGAAGAAGGAAAAGAACGACAGTGTCGCTGCCAAAGCGATCGCGGCTCTGGCTGCGGCCCGGGGTTTTACCAACGCAAAACACCAACGACGGGCCTGCCGCGTGCTCATCGATCTGACCGAACAGCCAGAAGCGGTGGACGCCGAGTCGAGGGACGCAGACACTACAAAACGAAACCGCCGGGATTGCCAGTCCACCGACGGCGAARAATCGTTGTCCTCGCCRCCGAAGTGGAACCTGGTTCCGACCTTTTCGAATCTCAGCTCCGGCGATGGCAACGACTACCACTACGACGAAGTRCTGACAYRTGTGTCCACGGAGAARYCTGCCTCCACTCGAATGAAAGTCCTGGAGAAATCCCTGGACGTGCCCTACTTTTGGCACTAGATTCAAACACGTCGAAGCGAACGCATTGTATACRGTGTASCCATAGAATACATGAAACGAAAAATAACTCGAMTGCAAAATAGAACAATAGAAAAGACGCAAAACTGTATTACTCCCGTTTCTGCATTATTGACGGCGTTTGCATCCGATGATCACTTCGAATCGSACGGTTGAACAATTCGGACTCCACCATCTCGCAACGAGATGCGTRAAAARCGTATTCCAGTCGATCGCGACAAACCCCTCGTTTGTTTCTAYATGTATTCTTGGTCATGGTGACTCCTGTTGTAGCCGTACAAAATCATCTGAAAGTGTCATGGTAGTTCAAAGCTTTGAAAAACTGTTATCTGCGCCTCTCCAAATGTCGCCGACGGAATAGTCGTTAACGGTTCGAGGAAACTGATTGTTCAAAACCCAGGTTTCCCTCGAATAATTTGTTCGGTACTTCTCCGTCGTTCAAAAGGAACTGCTCTCTTGTGCGCAACTGAACACAAGCCACAACGAGACCAAAACAACGAGCGGTCGTCGAGCCAAAGGACCAAATTCTGTGGTTGACCGAAGAGCTATTTGTGAGCCTGTGTTCYTTGTGTTGTTTTTCGRAAARCAGGAATAGTGGTTGGGYRAATATGCATCTGGATCTATATGTTGTTGCCGAAAGCTCCGCGCTCCGCGCCACCGACCTTGCTTGCACACAAAGCAATCGATTCCGGATTTTAGAGGAAGCCGGCAATGGATCATTGGCTATCACATAATAAATTTGATTCCGGTTTTTCGGGGAAGTTAGGAATGGATCAATCATTGGCTGTTACGTCGTGAATTCGATTCCGGTTTTCCGGAGAAGCCAAGAATGAATCATTTGTTGTCGTATTGAACGAATGCTCTTTGGTGTCCAAAGAAACCTGCGTTTGAAACTTCACGGGTGGTGATTTTGATTTACCGATCGGAGTTTCATTCTGATGGCAGCGACGAAAAAGAATCTGTGCTCACTTAGCGGCACTTGCTCGGTATCGTACCTATTCTGATGAGGCAGGCGCATTTGACACGCAAGTCCGATCCATCACAACCAAAAAGCAACAAACTTCCAGTTCGATGGTCCAACCAAAACCGAACTCCGAAGACTAAGCTTTCCTCATTATCGTGATCATCGGAATGGGCTATCATTACCAAAATTCGAATGCTCTCTACAAGGTGCGGGCACTCAAGACGGCCACAACCGCGAAAGAAGTCGAGCAAAGCATGGCCGCTATTGCCGATTACGTCGGAACGAACATAAGCGCGCAGAGGTTGGACGCCAACTTGAGGATAGAGAGCCGGCGAGACATCACCTGTGCTGGTGGCCTAGAAGCTATCATCAAAGGCATGGCCGATTTMGAACGGAATCTAGCTGTTCAGGTAGCGGGATGCCGAGCTCTAGCCAATCTTTCTCACAGAGGAGGCTACGAGTGCAAGGATTACTTTGGCCAATCTTCCAATCGACGACAAATGCTTATCGCTCGATCCGGAGGAATCGACATTGTTTTGAAAGCATTGGRCACTCATAGCTAYGCAGTCGATGACTACAACCACACCGTTGCTTGCAACACGGATCTTCAAGAACACGCATGCAGGGCTCTTTGGGCACTGTCCTTCAATCCCAAAGTAAAAAAGGCGATCGTTTTCAAAGGCGGAATATCTTCCATTCAAACCGTAGTCGTCAACACAGCCAGAAAGGAGGCGCGATCAAGGGCAGTATTCTGGGCCAGATTGGCTCTCAAGAACTTGGTTAACCCGGAGAGGGGTGGAGGATGCCTCAGCAAATTGGTGGTGATTCTTGGTTTCCTATCAGGCGTTGGATTTGCGATCTATCTTCTTCTTCCACAAGGTCTTTAGTTTTTGATATTCATCGTGACTTTAGTGCACAATAATAGTTGTAAATGACAGTAATATTGTCTTACAAAAAATAGATACAAGACTCCAGCGTTGCCAACCACTCTCGAGAATGTCACTTGAAAATCTATTGGGCCATGCCAGAGAATCGGCTTGGTACATAGATCAATGTCGTCGAATCTTGGATCAATGACACAAAAGAAAACACTGTATCCACGTCGCAAGAATGAAAGATAGCAGCATCACCTTCCTGTATAATTGCTAATTGCCCGCTACGCAATCCAATTCCAGCCTTGGTGTTCTCATTACATCCTTCTTCGTGTAGTGTGTATTTAGCCTTGAATCGTTCGTTACGTTTGTATTTTCCCATATTGCTTAAAAATGTGCAGGGAATTATGTACCGTTAGGCCAGAAGTCCTTCCCCTTGTTGTTACCACAAGCGACGGCGGAGCGACGGCGAAAGGTACTTCTTCTTGTGATCTGCTACCCATCATAGTAACAAGACGAGCTCCAACACCACAAGATACCGATGCTGTCTCTCTTTGCCATGAAAAGTAAACGGCGGAAGGACGTCAAAACCATCCTCGTCGTTCGTATCCGATCACAGCGGGATCCAACGATCCCTGGCAAAGAACGAGAAAAAGATCCTCGTTTTCGTGCCAACCACACCGGATTCCTTGTCCATGCTTCTCGGATCCACGACGAGTCCATCCGATCGGCGTTGTTGTTGATGATGTTGTTGTGAGTGGGTGTCGGCATGCTCTCGTTGCTCTCCGGTTCGTTTCTGAACCACCTGGCATCGGAATATTCGTCGTTCGGCGTTCGTTCGTTCGTCGCTCACTGGTCCGGACGTTCGTCCCGGCCCCCGAAATTCCGCTTCCGGCCCGCGTACCAGGCCAGGGATTCCTTCCACCCGTCCTCGAACGAAAAGTCCGGCCACAGGGTGTCCACCACGAAGAGCTCCGCGTAGGCCGCCTCCCACAGCAAAAAGTTGGAGAGCCGGTGCTCCCCGCCCGTCCGGACGACGAGGTCGGGGTCGCAGCGGCTCCCGGTCCCGAGGCGTTCCGAGAGGGTCGACTCGGTGATCTCCGAGGGGTCGAGGAGGCCGTCCCTCGCGTCCGTGGCGATGGACCGGCAGGCGGAAAGGATGTCGCGGCGGCCGCCGTAGTTGACGGCCAGGCAGACAACGAGGCGCGGGGTCCCGCCGGTGGTGCCACCGCCGGATCCGCCTCCGGTGTCGCCGACCGTGGCCGCCTCCAGCTCGCGGAGGACACGGCGGAGGCCCGGCGGAACGCGGGGATCGTCCAGGTTCCCGAGGACCCTGATCTCCACCTCGGCGAGGAGGGACCGCCTGCCCACCAAAAAGGTCCTCGCGAGGACCTCGATGGCCTCGAAGATCTTGGAGATTTCGTGCGGGGACCGGTTCCAGTTTTCGGTCGAAAAGGCGTAAAAGGTCAGGCACTCGACCAGGGCACGGGGACTCTCGGTGCCTCCCGCAGCAATGGCGTTGTTGGCGTTGGTGTTACTGTTGCTCGACCGCTGCTGCTTGCGCTCGTCGACGAGCGATTGGATCAGGTCGACGAGGCGGCGGGCGCCCTCGGCGTGACCGGCGGCCCGCGGGAGGTTTCGCTGGGAGGCCCAGCGGCCGTTGCCGTCGCAGATAAAACCGACGTGCCTGGGAACGACGCCGGCCCCCGCGGGAGCGGCGTCGCGCACCGCCACCGTGCCCCCGCCGGTGCTGGCACCAGCATTGTTGCGTGCCCTGGCACGGGAATCGCCGCTGCCGTTGGTTTGGCTGTGGTTGGCAGCTTGGTAGATCGGGCCGTGGCTTGTCGTGTTGATGGGGGCCACCGTAGCGTCCGAGCCGTTTCGTTCTACCGTGGCCGACAGGGTCGAACACCGCTGGCGATGGTGGTGAATTCTTTGCAATCGTTGCCGTTTCCCCCTCTTCCAGCACAGCCGCGTGTTTGGGTCCTCTCTGGGGTTGCCATTGTTGCCGCTTGTGCTCCGGCAAGAGAAGGTAAAAGCACCGTTGTACAAGTACCCCCGTATCCTTGTGGTCGCCAGGCGATCCGATGAAATGGTGATGGTGTGTTGGCGGCTCTGGTGCGCCCGAGACGACCG